ATAAGCAAATGTATTATCATTCAAGTGGGTGATATATTGACCACTGTATACTTCCCATCTGCCAGCACATGACACATGTAGTATATGCACTTAAACAACGAGATATTTCATCACTTCTCAACGGTGGCTAACGGAGCCTGATCAACAGGAAGAAAAAATATCGATATATCTATGACGGAAGAAGCACATATATTTGCGACAAAATAATCACATACGTCGGCGACGGAATAAAAACGTGTCTGCGACGGAATTAGCACACATATATATACATATAACGGAATAGGCACATATCTGCGACGGAATAAGCATATATCTATGACGGAATATGCATACCTGCGTGACCAGGTGCTTTCCATCTGCCAGCATGAGGCACAGTAGAGGCGAGATGATAGTTGTCTTACCCGCACCCATGATCATCTGATGACACGTGCTAGTCTTATTACGCACACCCGCCATAATACTCTGCACCAGCTTAATCTGTGGGGTGTTAAGTCAAGCAGAGAGGTGTATGGGACTAATTAATAAAATAGAATTGTAACTTATTTTAATAAAATAAAATTGGAAATAAGTGTATGGGACTAATTGATACAATCGGAAACGAAGTGTATGGAACGAATTAATTCAATTAGAAATGTGTGGGTTTTTAGGGTTTAGGGTTTAGGGTTTAAATCGGAATTAATTAATACGATTGAAAATAAGTGTAGATAACTAATTAGTACAATTTTAATCTGTGGGGTGTCATGAAAAGCCGTTGCACGCGATGTCAGTTGAGGTGTGTACGTGCATGTTTTGCGTGGAGTACACTAGATGTCTATCACGAATATACCTATACCTATGTATATATAGATACCACCAGCCTTCACAACATATGTATGTACATATGTTTATCTCTACAGTTTTGCACAACGAACCTATATATGTAAATATAAACTCCACCACTTTCGCACAAAGAGCATAGATATGTACATACACATACCACCAGCTTTGCACAAAGAACCTATGTATGGACATACAAACACCACCACTTTCGCACAAAGAGCATAGATATGTACATACACATACCACCAGTTTCTTATACTCATGCGTGTGGTGGTTGTAGGAGTGTGTGTTGCATGTGCGTGTCTTGTTTCGCGCTGCCGCACTTTTAAACTGCGAATGTACCACATGCGCACTATGCCTCGCCTCAGGGCCCATACTCACGCCACCCACCCACCCACTCCAATCACTCTCAGCACCAATCACACACAATTATAACCCACACTCAGACGCAAAAGAAGGACAGATTCAGGACCATTTACACTCTAAAGGGTCAGATGCAGGACAATTCCCACCCTCAAGTGTCAGATTCAGGACAATTCACACCCTCAAGAAACGTTCCGTGGGTACGGACTACAGGGGCATTGAAACACCACATGTTCGGGTTCAACCTAAGTACACGTGTTGATATATGTTCTGAGCGCCAACTCACAGACCACACACCCACCCACCACAATTACTTAAATACACAGAACCCAAATTACTAAACGTAAAATGCAAGCGCCAGCCACCCCACACCCGCAGCTGCACTACGCGTACCACCAAGTTGTACGTAAACTCGACCACCAGATACTTCGCCGAGGGGAATGTAGTACGTAAATGCAGATACGGGACACCCCTCACTCACCTTATCCACACACCCATCTTCATTACGCGTAGCACAAGGTTGTACTTAAACTTAAACACCAATAACTTCGCTGAGCACAAAACTATACGTAAACGCAGATACAAGGCAGTCCACACCCGTGCCCACCCACCCACCTGCGTTTCGCGTAGCACCAGGTTGTACGTAAACTCGAACACCAAATATCTGGGGTCCATGACTATAGAGTTCTTTGTGCTGTCAAAGGCACAGAAGTGGCGTGCGGTGGTCAGTGCTTCGGCCAGTTTGTCGGCTTTGATACTCAACGCCGTGACGCGCATCTGTCCATCTTCGATGGAATCGGGACGATTCCGCAATTCCTGTGAGAAAGAAAATGGGATTGGGAATGGGAATGGGAATGGGAATGGGAATGGGAATGGGAATGGGAATGGGAATGGGAATGGGAATGGGAATGGGAATGGGAATGGGAATGGGAATGGGAATGGGAATGGGAATGGGAATGGATATGGGTATGAGTATGAGCGATTTTCGGGTTGCTAAGCGCGGGAAGATTTTGGGGGTTGTTTAGAACCGATAAAGTAGGACAGAACTGTGGAAACCGATGTTAGAAATGTGGGAGTGCGAAATTAGGTTGGCGGGTTTATTTTAAAAAGAGCAGTGTTTGGAATATTAGAGTGCGAAATTGGGATTGCGAATGCGAATGCGGTTGCGATCTGAAAAAGAGGACGATTAGTAAAGACGATAATTAACTGCCAACTATCTAGATCAGAATATTTACCAAAAGTACGTTTCTATATTTCTAATTCAAAAAATTATATATATAAATTTATATATATATATATATATATATATATATATGTATCTACATACATACATACATACATAC